TGAGGGTGAGTACATTTTCAGCATTTTATTTTTTTATTTTTCTGACAAGCATATGACAAGATGTTGTGTGTTTTTAAAATACAGACTAAAAGCATTGTCCTTCCTGTAGAACACAAGTGTATAAATTGTGATCCAGCCTGACTTAATGTTGCTAGTTTCATTATGACTTCTATGGAGTTATAAATTGTCTCTCTACATGACATCTGTCCTGAACGCGCTCTTCACGCTTCACTCTAAAATCATGCAATTACAACTTGCATGAAGAAAAAAAGAGCCTGTTTTAGGCCCATTAAGATTTTTTGCACAGCGAAAGTATTTCGGTAACAATTAAGCACATTCCCTTTACCTTAATGTGTCCAGACATTTTAAGTTTGAGGAGTTTTTTGTAATTAACATTTTTCTCAAAGATGATTCTCATTACATTATCATTTGGAGAAATGCACCTAATTGTCATGAAATTAGTGCCTCGATGCTAAAAAAAAAACCTTAATGATCCTGAACACAAGGTTTCATTTTCTTAATGCAAAATATAATTTAGTTTTTTAAATGAAATATGACCTGTGCAATGCCTCTATTAGGAACAGTAGTTTTATCTTGAGATGTACTATTTAAAATAAGGGTTTTCTGTTTGAAAGTATTTTAAAATGTAATTGATTCCTGTGACGTAAAGCTGCATTTTCAGCATCTTAAACGCCAGTCTTTCAGTGTCACGTGATCCTTCAGAAATCGTTCTAATATGCTGACTTGCTGCTCAAAGAACATTTCTCGTTATAATCAATGACAAAAACAGTTGTGCTGCATCATATTTTTATGGAAACCATGATAGATTGAGTTTTTCTGACTTCTTTGATGAAAGGAAAGTTCAAGAGAACAGCATTTATTTAAAATAGAAATCTTTTGTAACATCTTTTACTGTCACATTTGATCATTTAATGCGTCCTTACTGAATAAAAGTATTAATATCTTCCTACTGAACTTTTGAACAGTAGTGTACATAATGCATACCCCACCATGCAATGCACTTAACTCGATGCCACAAATTTATATTTCCAATGATTAATATTAATAGATGTTACCAAATACTGCTGTTGTCAGTTATTTGTGCTCTTATAAAAGCAGTAAGTCACTCAAGGTCATGTGTAACTGTGATTTACCTCAGTTTAAGTCAGTTTTCTCAGTGAAACAGCTTTATTTTATGCTGATTCACATTCTATTAAAACAGTAGATGGCATACAGCATATACTGTGCAGTATGCAGTACACTAGTATTCTGTTCCGAACACAGTCGCAGAACTCAATCTAGATAAGCCAAGCTTATCAGAGCAGATGCTGACAGTAGAGCAATATGCATACCAGCACATACTGTAACATAATTGCTATCTGTCAGTGATAAGCAGGCCCACACACAATCAGCGCCCACAGATGTCCGCAAGAATCGGGACGCCCGTCATTCACAAACTTCTACACATTTTCTGTTGCTTTATTAAGTGTTTTGGCTAATTTGAATGTTTTTGTAGAACTCTCCGCTATTGTTTAACACAATCCACAGATTTTACCACCTCAAAAAACTTCAGATTCCACCTGTGATACACAACAAGCAATGCTTGAAAAATACATCTGCATGTAAGCTGAGATGGAACATGTTAAACTGAAAATAGGATGACCAGAATGTCTTTTTGACTCTAGCTGAATCATCAGAGCAGCTCTGTCTTTCCCCTGTATTAAAACAATAAACAAGGCCTTTCCCCTCCAGCTACAGTCTAACAACAGCACAACGTGTCAGAAACCGCTCGGAAAAAGAACGAGAACCGCCGTCGTGTAAGAGGGAAGTGCAAAATGAATTTCTTTCAAGCGTACGCAGACAGATTGAAAACGGCATCTTTTATTAGGGAGTTGGGAGGCTGACGTCCTTTCTGATGAGGCCAAGAGACGTTTGTCGCAGCAGGAGGGGGGAACGGAAAAGCCATTATGATTTTAAACGTGACCCCTCTGGCCATTAGAGCTAATGCAGAACCGCACACACGCCGTCCCTCAAGACCACATGCTGGAAAACCCTGACATTGCAAACCCAGATTATAAATGCGGCCAGACGCCAACACAACAATGCTGACTTAATGGAAATACAGATGTTACTCAGGTGAGGTGTACAGTGGGCACAAAATCCAGCATGAAATCAAAATGACCATGTTTAGTTTTTAAAGGTGCAGTAGTGAAATGTTGCGTGTAAAAAGGGGTCCATTCATTGTAAGTAGTGTAGAGATGAGTATGAATTATTGCTTACACAGAAGTCACTTTAACTTTTGAGCAACCAACTTGATCATGAGTGGAATCTGCGTGGGAAACTTTTTCACTCTTATGCGAAACAGTCGATCATGCGGATTCCTGAATTTCACTTGCAAATTTTCGTTAATGTTAACGTTGACCACACCTTAATGCGCATTTCTTGATGTGCATGATGGATTCGTCCCACTAACATTTGACGACCAGAAAGTGGTTATTTCTGTGAAATATTTTGCTTGTAAAGTTTGCTTGCGTTAATAAAGTTAACAAAAAGTTAACGTTTCTATTAAGTTATGAATATATTTTTTTTTCTTGGAATGTTTCCTGAATGTTCAGTTTTTTTTTTTTTTTTTTAAACATTTTTGGTAATGTGAATGTTAAGGGAACATTTGAGCATTTCACAAACATTATGGGAATGTTACTTTTGAATGTTCTCTGAACATTCTGAAACAAGTAGTAACATTTAAAAACGTTAGATTAACGTCCAACTAAAACGTTTTCTGAAAAGAGATCCATAAACGATGTATAATGTTTTTGCGCTAACATTTTGAGAACATAACATCACCAGATAACTTGGAACGAACGTTCTCTTTAAGTCGGTCACTCTCGACGTCACGTCGGTGACTGACGAATTGGGTCTCTCTAAGCGAGATCCCAATTCGTCGGTCACAGACGTGACGTCTCCGTTCCCTCCTTCAGGAAACGAGGGTTACATACGTAACTGAGACATTCTATTAACGTTACTGAAATAATGTCAGTTCATATCGTTACGTGAACCTTGCCAGAACGTTTTGTTTAATATAAATGTCACTTAGTTTGATATTTTAACTAATGCAATGACATTTTAGACATTTTACGTGTCAAGTGCGTTCCCCTTCACTGTTGTTGACGAATTTTCCCTGGCGAAATCCAGTCATTCCAACAGGATTCTATACGATCAGGAATTTCGTGTGAGAATTTCGTGCAAAAGATTTCCCCATGCAGATTTCAACGGGTTCAAGCTCAAAGATTTTTCACCTTGACCAAGCTGCTTGGTTTGAAAGTGACTTCTGTGTGAGCTGGGTTTCGTTGGCCGATATGCTATACTGACCGAAATTTCACTAATGTGAACACACCTTTAAGTGTCTAAATGCTTTTTGGCCTATTCTGATATAAAAACACGATGTGTTACCCAGTTGTTGTTTATCGGTAAAGTAATACGTCAAAAAATACTTTAATATTAATTTCTATGAAAAGCCTAAACCACGAGTCGGACAGGATAATATTTTCTATCTGAAATCATAGTCTTGTGATTCTGCTGGATTAAGGGCTCTGATTTCTAAAATACAAGACATTCGCTTCATAAAAGCCAAAGAACCGCGTGAACACGTAACCGCATTATCCTGTCGACCGTCCTCTTTTTCTGTTGTTCACTTTAAATCTGAAACATCCCAGAAGATCAGGGTAATAATATCATTGTCATGAAATAACCCCTCTATCCCATCACAACATTCTGTTACGGATTATGCACGTATCCGTTTATTTTCTTATGCAAATTGAAAATCGACGGCGGTCTGTATAATAACACCATGACGTTTCACTCTCATATTACGTCCTCCTCAGAAAATTCAATTTTCATAATAAAAACTGTCAGTATCTTTATGAATTCTGTGCAATGAAATATTAGTAAAAAAAAAAATGTTTTTACCATTTCTGTCTTTTTTCATTTCGGTCTGAGCAGATCATATGTGCACATCAGTGGCATGTTTTGATGCATTTTTAATTGGATTGATTTTGATTTCATGTTATTACTCAAGAAGCTAATTACTCATTAGTTACAAATCAAATCGCTGACAGTTTTAAAGCATGGCCATCAGATGAATCGGGGCAGAATGAACATCTTGAGGTGAACATTAGCCAGTGTCTGGGAGTTCATGTGCATATAAACGCACCTTCTGTTGTGCTCTGCTGTTTTTTAACACAAGAGAAAGGTCCTGTGTGAACAGCCCCTTAGTCGTCTGCTAATTAAAACAGGGAAAGGATCTGTTCATGAGCGTGTCTCATCTTTCTGGTGTTGACTTTCTCAAACAAAATCACTTGTGATGCTTTATTGCCTCTGAGAGCAATGTTGAAAATGTTTGTATAAGAGCTAGAGCAGATTGTCTCCATGTAAAAGTAAACCGAAGCCACAGACACTTATTATGCCACCTTCCTCTTTTAAAAGCAATAAAACACCCTGTAAATGATAATTCTGGCATCATTTAATCACCTTTTTTTTGCACAAAGCATTCAATGGATAATTTGTTAATTAAGCTTGTGGCTAAACTAACAATACAATTCTAATGAGCATACAAATATTCTACGCCCACAAAAATTGGGTAAATAATATATTTCTAATTAAATGGACTACTTTTCTGATGGTTTTATGGAGCTCAAAAGTATAGAAGCCCATTTCTGCAGTTGAAGAAAAAAACGCTTTGGTAAATCATAATTGTCATCGTGACAAAAATAATATCAAAATTATGGGTTGAAATTGACACAAGGCATAATTATGAGATAAAAAGTCAAACTTATGACACAAGTCAATTATGAGATTAATAGTAAAAAATTATGATATACTAAAAAGTCAAAATTATGGGATAAAATTATATGAATTACATTTTCCACTCCATAAGAAAATAATAATTATGCATGGTATGAAATACCAACATACTTATGCGATGAAAAAAGTTAAATTATGACTTACTTATCATGGCGTTTTATCTCATAATGTCAGAATTATGGCTTTTTTAATCTGTGTTGACTTTTATGGAAAGTTCTACTATTTATCTCTTAGTGTGTCAAAATGTTGTGTTTTTATGAGTTTTACTTTTCAGTGTTGACATTTTGTCAATGTCTGCCCTTAGACTTATGGTGTCATAATTTTGACTTTTTTGTTGTTTTTCTTATGTGGCAGAAATTGGCTTCCATACAAACAGCCTGAGTCTTCATTCACGTATTCTACTTTTGCCATGAAGTCATACATATTTGAAACGGCATGAGGTGAGTAAATGATGACAGAATTTTCATTTCTGTGTGAGTTATTCCTTTAAACCAGTGGTGGATCCGCTCTGAATGCTAACAACCAAACCAACAAAAAGTCGCCCCTACTGCACAACAAACTTAATAGTAAAATCCCACTATGTTTCTCTGCCAGGTGCGAATCTTCTCTTAAATTTCGAGAATCTGACTCTTTTGTTTGGACGGTGACATGAAATATTCATATAAACGTAAACAAAAACATACACAAACATATGCACCTAACATCACAATAGATTGCTTCTCGCAACAGTAACCTTCTCCTCGGAGTGCGTCTGAGATGCCGTCTTTGAGTCTTTCTCGGCCCTCTGGGCTCATTGAGTAAATATTAATGTGGTTTTCCCATCCAGTGCATTTACCGATAACAATCTCTTCCCATCTCTCCTCCCTCTTCCTGGATACCGGAGTCCTTTCTGCTCATTGATGGGGAAGGGATGTTATCGCCCGCTCACCAGCGGTGAGTTAAATGTTCAGGATTGGTTACAAGAGGTGGAAATGTCAAGTGAGGTTTTTGCGCGACAGTGTACCTGTCTTAAACCATAAGCTACGTGACATCAGCCAGTAGTTTTGGCTTGAGTATCTAAAGATCAATAAAACAACTCTTGCTTTCTTGTTTTGTATATTGAACTTGTTTTAAGGATGTTTAGATACTGGAAAACAAGACAAAATATCGATTAGCAAAGTGATTTTTTTTGCAGGGTAGCATTTAGAACATTCAGAGGTCCACTTCCATTGGCTCGGTGGGTGTGAGCGCGTCCTCAATCCTGATTGGCTGAGCTGTCTTCCTGTTTGTCCACCTCCTCGTCCTGTCGTCCTGTTTCTTGTGCTGTAGGTGAGGCCTTGTCTTGACACGACCCCATTTCAGCTTCTGTTTTCACGCCACGCTCTTCCTCTTTAACATCAACCTCATCTTTAGCATTTCCGTCTGTCTTGCTATTTCCGCCCACCGCCTCTTGTTTTTCCCTGTCTGCTCCTACCGTCCCTTCCTCGGTCTCGTTCGCGTCCTCTTTCTGTTCACTCTGCACTTCAGCATCAGTCTCATTATTCTGGTTTTCCTCCCGTCGTTCATTCACACTTGTATCGGCGCTCTTCTCGGCTCCATCACAGGGCTTTTGATCACTTATCTCTTTCTCTACGGTGGGTGTGGAGTCTTTCTTCTTCTTGTTCTTTGGTGCGTCTTTGACCGAGTTCTTGTTGGACTTGTTCCGTGCTTTAAAGATGACTTTCTGAAACAGAAAATGGGAGTCTTAGTACCTTTTTTTATGAATAGGCAATGAGATGCAGATAAATATTTAATGAATTGCCTTTTTTAAAGGGGTGGTTCACTGTTTTTTTTCTAGGATTGATTGTGTTTATGGGGTGCAGTCTAACGTATTAATGCTTCGTTTTAAAAAAAACGCATTATTTTTCACATAATTTACCTTTATTCCACACCGCTCTGTCCCTTCTCTGAAAAATGCACTGATCATTTCCTTCTTTTATGAAGCCCCTCCCTCAGAAATAGGTGATGGAGTCTGATTGGTTAGCTAGCCCAGTGTGTTGTGATTGGCTCGACCGTCTCTAGTGAGCGTCTAAACGTGGAACATTGTTATAGCTGAGCTGAATATGAGAGCGAGAGATGCAGAGCATGTGCAGAGCAGGGGGACGCGAGGAACAGTATTAAGAACCTCTGCTTTAGAACATTGATTTTGAAACTTGTGAATCCATTAGAATTGTTAGAAGACAGAATCGCGATTCATATATGAATAGATTTTTATGTGCACCTCTAGTTTTCTCTTCCTCTTCTGTAAAGCAGCGCAGCATGGCCTCGCCCCCTTTGCTGCCTTTTCCAGAGGGTGGGGTTTATCTGGGTTTGTGATGTCACGAACCCGGGAAGTAACTTGTTGTAGTCCCTACCAGCCGTTTTTGTAGGCATTAAACTGCCAGAATTTTAAAAGACGATAGTTTGCATTGAACTTTCAGCTTCGTAACTTTGCAGATATTGTTTATGTTCAAACTGCAACATTGCATTTAACTAACGTTAAAAAAGTGAAATCGCAATGAACCACCCCTTTAAAATAACAAAAGTATGCTTGGTTGTGATGCTGCTTCATCATCATTTTATGAATCACTGCTTCCATGATAAATAAAAATGTTCTTTGTAATAAAATTCTGTTTACGTACTGTCTTAATTTTTAACTTTTGTATTATTTATTCAGAAAAAAACACTGCAATAGTGTATATAAATATATAAGCCTATATATGTATTTAAATGTATAACTTGTATACATTTTGACTGATAAATAACACCAATAAAAATGAAATTGATTTGAACTATTATTATTTATAACTAACTGGACTAAATGTAAATGTAATATTAATTTGAGTTGATATTATTATAATTACCTCTATATTATCTTAAAGAAAAAACGCAATATGTCACCGTGACAATTGATATAACTAGATTTTTTTTTTTTAGTATTTGCAAAAGTATTACGGTAATATCAATATTCAAGTTACCTGAGGTGAATTTTTTTATAATCGATAACCGAGAGGCAAGATGGTGCTAGTTGGGTGTGTATGAAGAGCGCAAGATGTGCGTAAAAAGTAAAGCCGTGAAAGTAGTGCCAGTTTCAGTTACCCGGATGAGCGGATATATATATATTTTTTCTTGATATTTCACCATCATCTGAAAGCTGAATAAATAATAATATAATCAGCTTTCCATTGATGCATGGTTTGTTAGGATAGGACGATATTTATTCCACACCGCTCTGTCCCTTCTCTGAAAAATGCACTGATCATTTCCTTCTTTTATGAAGCCCCTCCCTCAGAAATAGGTGATGGAGTCTGATTGGTTAGCTAGCCCAGTGTGTTGTGATTGGCTCGACCGTCTCTAGTGAGCGTCTAAACGTGGAACATTGTTATAGCTGAGCTGAATATGAGAGCGAGAGATGCAGAGCATGTGCAGAGCAGGGGGACGCGAGGAACAGTATTAAGAACCTCTGCTTTAGAACATTGATTTTGAAACTTGTGAATCCATTAGAATTGTTAGAAGACAGAATCGCGATTCATATATGAATAGATTTTTATGTGCACCTCTAGTTTTCTCTTCCTCTTCTGTAAAGCAGCGCAGCATGGCCTCGCCCCCTTTGCTGCCTTTTCCAGAGGGTGGGGTTTATCTGGGTTTGTGATGTCACGAACCCGGGAAGTAACTTGTTGTAGTCCCTACCAGCCGTTTTTGTAGGCATTAAACTGCCAGAATTTTAAAAGACGATAGTTTGCATTGAACTTTCAGCTTCGTAACTTTGCAGATATTGTTTATGTTCAAACTGCAACATTGCATTTAACTAACGTTAAAAAAGTGAAATCGCAATGAACCACCCCTTTAAAATAACAAAAGTATGCTTGGTTGTGATGCTGCTTCATCATCATTTTATGAATCACTGCTTCCATGATAAATAAAAATGTTCTTTGTAATAAAATTCTGTTTACGTACTGTCTTAATTTTTAACTTTTGTATTATTTATTCAGAAAAAAACACTGCAATAGTGTATATAAATATATAAGCCTATATATGTATTTAAATGTATAACTTGTATACATTTTGACTGATAAATAACACCAATAAAAATGAAATTGATTTGAACTATTATTATTTATAACTAACTGGACTAAATGTAAATGTAATATTAATTTGAGTTGATATTATTATAATTACCTCTATATTATCTTAAAGAAAAAACGCAATATGTCACCGTGACAATTGATATAACTAGATTTTTTTTTTTTAGTATTTGCAAAAGTATTACGGTAATATCAATATTCAAGTTACCTGAGGTGAATTTTTTTATAATCGATAACCGAGAGGCAAGATGGTGCTAGTTGGGTGTGTATGAAGAGCGCAAGATGTGCGTAAAAAGTAAAGCCGTGAAAGTAGTGCCAGTTTCAGTTACCCGGATGAGCGGATATATATATATTTTTTCTTGATATTTCACCATCATCTGAAAGCTGAATAAATAATAATATAATCAGCTTTCCATTGATGCATGGTTTGTTAGGATAGGACGATATTTGGCTGAGATGCAATTATTTGAATATCTGGAATCTGAGGGTGCAAAAAAATCTGAATATTGAGAAAATCGCCTTTAAAGTTGTCCAAATGAAGTAGCAATGCATATTACTAATTAAAAATACTTTTTAAATATATTTACGGTATGAAATTGATAAAATATCTTCATGGATCATGATCTTTACTTAATATCCTAATGATTTTTGACATAAAAGAAAAATTTATAATTTTGACCCATACAATGTATTGCTGGCTATTGCTACAAATATACCCATGCTACTTATGAATGGTTTTGTGCTCTAGGGTCACATAATAGGACATTTCTGATCATTGGATTCCGCGATTGATTAATTAAAGTCAAAAACTCCACAGAGAACCGTGTAATAAGGCTGATTAGATGTGTTATGGTGCCTCAGCAGGTGCTTTCATACAGAAACACTGGCAGCAGCACCTTCGGTCACGCCGCCTGTGAATGAGTTTGTGCCGCTGTCAGTTAGGACTGGACTGTGTGAAGTAAGTGTCAGAAACCTGTCATGCTCCACCATAACTAACCCAATATCAGAAGACCTTCACCCAGATCATTTTGATAATGTTTGATCACTGACAAACAATCGTGAGGAAGCATGAACTGTTCACGGAGAAAGTATAAACACCTTCATGAAGTCATTTATGCTCACCAAGGCTGCATTTATTTGATTTGAAAATACAGTAAAGCAGTAATATCGTGAAATATATATATATTTTTTTCTATTATGAAATGTAATTTATTTCGGTGATCAAAGCTGAATTTTCAGCAGCATTCCTCCAGTCTTCAGTGTCACATGATCCTTCAGAAATCATTCTAATATGCAGATTTGCTTCTCAAGAAACATGTATTATGATCATCAATGTTGAAAACAGTTTTTGCTGCTTTGTATTTTTGTGGAAACTGTGATAGATTACCATTCAAAAGTTTTGGGATAAGTGATAAAAAATTTGAAATTAATAGCTTTGTTCAACGAGGATTTTATGAAATGAATGCAGCTTTGGTGAATATGAGAGACTTCTTTTAAGAAATTAAAAGTAATTTAAGAGTGTGGGTGTGTGTGCATTTCAAATCTGAATTAGATATAGTACTATATAATCAAATGATTTATGCTTTTTAAAATCTTTATTAAACCTGTTCAAATAGCAAACCGGCATCATCATTATTAAACAAACTGACAATAAATCCATGTTTATCCATTTAAGCATTGAAACTCCAGGAGTAGAAACATTTATGACAGACGTCACTGCCTCTCCTCACACTGATTGGCTGCCGCCTGCCACTTTTCTGTCCTTCATTTGCGTGAAGTATTTTTTTAACTTTAGTTTTTAACCCTGTTTTCTTCCAGTGGAGTAAATGCCACTGATTGTTGCCGTATTGCACTTATGAATATGAGAGATAATACTTACATAAAACAGTACACACAAAGCTGTAGTGTCCTCATGCAACCACGAGATGCATGAGACGGGAAGCTCAGGAATTGCATGCCACATGACATTTTTGTTTTCGGAAAAAGTTCATTTAGATTCTCTCCTCTGTTATGGTTGTGAATACAAATTCCCATATTGAATTACATATACAACTGATGACAAGTGTGACGGGTTGATTAAAGCTTAGCTCAGTTCATTTGCATTGGCCCTTTCTACCCAAAAATGTAAAAAGTCAACACTGGCGTGTAAGTAAATATCATCAGGAAAGCCAAACACGCAGTAACACCCACTAAGCACACACTCGCTCTGGTTTTCTTTGAAGTGACATGGAGCTAAATCTTTGTTTAAATTATGCATTGTTCTGTTCGAGCATCTTGTGCTTTCTGCCCCATTTTATGTGGTGCTTTAAAGAAATGCCTGATGCCTGCACTGAACCCTGTAAAAACACTTGGTGTGTGACTTTGGCTGCTAACACAAACTACGTAGATGTTTCAGCAATGTTTGAAGCAAAGAGAATGTGAGGAATATGATATTAACCATGTGTGTGTGTGTGTGTGTGTGTGTGTATGGCTGGAATAAGAGGTCACACACCTTGGATTCCTTCTTCTTGCGAGGCAACATTGGTCTTTGGAGGAAAATGATCTGCTTGGTGGCCAAACTTCCATCACTGGATAAGAGAGATGAAGCATTTTAGTTTGTGATCTAGGTATGATCATACTTTAAACAACAATAATAATCTAACTTCCCGATCCAGGTCCAAAACTTTTACCAAAAATAAAAAATTGGTTTTAAAAAAAAA